CGAACAAGCACTTTATAAAACAGCCTGTTACAACGCCACCTAAATGAGCCAACTGAGTGCTAATGGAGGCAAACCCTCAGCAACAGCTGCTGCTTTCAGCCACCAGCCCAGGATACTACTGGTGAGACAGTGACTGAAAAGTCACAACTGCTATTCCGTTATGGTTTTCGTCAAATATGACTGATCTTGAGCCATTTATCAAAGAAAAATGGGTTAGATAGCCGTCTGTGTAACAAAGCTGGTGGACTCAAAAGACTTGCAGGTGTAAATGGAGCAAAAGGCGTCAAATTTTCACATGTAAAATGTACATATGGAAAACCTTGTGTACTTTTCTTCCCGTGTGACAATTATGCACTACTTTGCGTTGGTTTGTCACAGGATCCCCGAAAGACACGTTAAAGCTTGTCGTGGTGAAGTAACAAAATGCGAAAAGGTTTAGGAGCAAAGAATGCTTTCGCATGGCACAATCTATAGAGGAAAAATCAAACACTGGAGACTGTTTGTCACATAATCAGAGTTTCTGATGCAACGCATTGCATTTGTAACCTTGCATTTTTTTTCTTCTTCCTTGCAAGCCTTGCATTTTTCCCTGTTCCTGAGTTTAGTGTAAACCGATCTCTGGCACGCGACTCTTCCGGCCCGTCTCTGGTGATCCATTACACGGCGGTGCCAACTCGAACCTTTTCTAAGTCAGCTCTGGCAGCTTGTCGAGCAGGTACACAGTCAGAAATTTCATCCTGCATTTGTCTGCTCTCACATGTCTGCGTAATCCCTTTCCTGGAAAGCACTGAAGTCTTCATTAAGTCTAAGAATGACTCGATTTTGAGGCATTGTTCAAGGCTACAAAAGTGGCCAGAGTCAATCACTCTCAAGCAAAAAAAATGTTTCATTTTACCCTGTGAATTTATTCTAATGTATTTAGCCCTGGGTCTTTTAAACAACTAGACCAATAGAGAGTCTTATTGTATTCAGACAAGGACAAATAGTGGATTCACTGATGCTCATGCAATAATTAGCTCCCATCAGGCTTCAGAAAGGTTGAGTGTTTGAAGCATTAAACTTTTTTTCTTCTTTAAAAAAAAGAGGGCCAAATGTGGACGCAATCTCATGATCCTCTTTTTATTCTGGTGCCTGCTTAGTAGTAAAGGAAAAGTGGCAAGAGAACATGGGGTCTTTTATTGGATCATGTAATGGCTTGAAGTTAAGCTAATCTAAGTTATTCTCCCTCTTTGTATGTGTGAGATAGAGTGCAGTAAAACCCGGCGCTCCATGGCTAGTTCTCCTAATCGTGTGGAAACTCTGACTACTTACAGAAGCAATGAGGGAGGTAATGGGAAAGTAATTTTTACTAATTTCAGCCAGCTCTGCTTTCCCATTCTGCGTGATTGTGTGCGCCGTCTGCATCATTACAGGCAACATCTGCAACGGCTCGCCATGTGAACGAGCGGGCGGGGTGGGAAAGAAGTGGAGGAGAACGACTACAAGCTGGCGAGCCGCTTCTGACGTGGCTCGCGGATAAACAAAAGCCTGCCAATCCTCCGTGTTCACAGTGCCTCCTCTTGTCAAAATTCTTTCACATCCAGGTGGTTTTGGTCTCAGACAATGCTGGGTTTTTTTTTTTTTTTTTTTGTCTCTTTTTTTCTTCCAAGCAAAGTCCGTGGCCAAGCAGCTGCTGCTAATCTCTGTTAGCAGAGTCCCACTAAACAGTCGGCTGTAGCCTTTAATCTGGTCCCCCCACAATCATTACCTCCAGAGCCGGGGACTGGGCTGGGGCGGGGGGGGCGGAATGGGTAACACAATTGCAGGAGAGTAAACAAATGAAACCCAATTTGTGTCCATTTCTCTGTCGTTCCTCTGGCTTTTCCTGTAATCTCGTTTGAATGTTCGGTAAGGCGCCAAAGTCGCTATCGTTTCATCGGGCTGCTGCGTGTGTGTCCCGCAGCCCCGATCTGCAGGTGTCTGTTTAAAGTGTACAGGGTAGATATCATTTCTCACAGCCCAGTTGTGTTCAGGCTTGTAGCTTATGATAATTGTGCTTTTGTGAGTGAAATTGTATAAATATGATGAATAAAAGCGTACCGCATTAGGCATCAAAGATAAGCCTAATATTTAGTCTCCTTTACAGATTATTTGAGACAAGTTGGGTCTTTTGGCTTCTTCCAGTTAGAAGAAACATGTTGGTCAAATGAAAATATTACTTCAAACCTAAATTTGCCAGTGGTATAAAATTGGGCGTAGCTGCATCATTTAAAACCCCAATTTCTGGAACTATTCAGATGCTGCAGTTTTTATTCGGGTCCTGACTCATGTTGTTCATATTATGCATACAATCACAAGAATAAACGACTTTACAATAGCAATCAAACCGATGGTTGTGCATGTCTCACTGTTCCCCATATGAGGAGGCCATGTTTTACTTATGAGACTTTAATATCCCTACAGCAATGTTGTTAAAAAGATCAGGTAACGCTCCGGATTTACAAATTAAATATCATGACCAAAATAAACCAAACTGAACTGAACCCCACTCAAACTCTATTTCACGAAGCTGCTCAAAAACACTTAAAAATTAACTTCATTCGGCTCAGACACTGAGGAAATACACTATTACTAATTACTGTGGCTAAGCATTCAGGAGGACTGTTAGGAGAGAGGTTATGAGGCTGTGACAGAGGATGGAAACGTAAGCAACTGTTCAATAGTAAGCATTTTCTTAATATATTTCATGCTCATAAACAACAATCCATGCACTTCGATTACCTCCACAAAACCCTCCTGTGTTTATTTTTTCACATTCTTTTCTTTGGCTCCAATCAGTAGCCATGCATTTATTTCACCGATTACTGCCAAATAGGAAAACAGAAAACAAGCATTTTGTAGATTTTACACAGTGACGTTATACACGCCATGTCATAATCCACTTTAGGTAGTGTCTTCTTAATTTAATTAAAAGTTTAAATTATTTATCAAGTTCAACAGCCATTGAAAATACTGATTTATTTACGAACATTTCATGTGAAATTTTTTTAAGTATTCTGACTGAAATACAGTGATGTAGGCCTTTTCCATGCAACCTTTTTAGCTCCGAAGTTGCTGGGGAAAGAAAACTTGAAGTTTAGACTTCAAATCTTTTACTTTGCTTCACCTCCTGGAAATATAAGAAGGAAGCTGGGCAGGAAGGTAAAAAAAATTCCACATGCTGCTTCTATGGTACATTTTCCCCTCAATAAAACACTCTCTACATCCCCTGTGGTCCAATAATGGGTTTACATAGACTCCGGTTTGCTTCACCATCTTCCCGGTATGCCCATACAGAACTCTGCTGCCCACCTTAGCTGACAAGCGCTGACAAAAAATTCTGGCTGTGAAACATTGCCTCACATGTCAAGAGTCAGGCAAGCTATTTTTCCGTACCCCTATTCGCTTGGTCTCCAGCTCTTACATGAAAGTCTGTGATTTGACTCCTTTCGCTGTGACCACATGAGGGAACAGGTGCCTGTGAAATTAAAGTCAGGGGGGTTTCAGAAATGCAGAGAAGCCCGATGCACTGCAGACTGCAGATTACCTCTATAGGGCATGAAGGCCAGCAGAGAACCGAGGTAGCCCCCTATGAGGAGCCCACAGGGAATACCTTACCAACAGCTCCCCAATGACATCTTGGACATTTTGTTCTTCTCTCTGCAGGGGGAAAAAAAACTGCACTTGTTTAGCGATCACAGGGGTTTATTTTTGATGCTTGCTGTGTTATCAGAAGATGCAGTGCATTGCCATTATTGTGCCACTGTGCTTATTATAGATTCCATTTAGATGGCAGTTAAATTGGATGTCCCCATCAGCTACAGAGCAAGTTGTTTGTTTTAGAGAACCGGATGCTGAATCACAAAAGTATTATTAAGTCTTTCAGGAGATAACAGATGAATTAAAGCGAGCCAGTGACTGCTGCCTTCCCCCCCCCCCCTTACCAATTTTATTAAGAAAATAAGTTACAGTGCAATTTACCGATTTTTAAGAGAAGTATTTTTCAAAGTTTAGCAAACAAATAAACAAAAAAAGCGGCGAGTTTGTGACATGAATCAATGTTGCATAGAAACGGTTCTGATAAGCTCAAACGGGAAGCAGGCTGGTGGAATTTGATCTCAAAGTATGTTGCATTGAGATTGGTTCAGTTCTGCAGAAGCTCAAGTTGTGAAGAGAAATGAGAAGGTGAACACAGGGGCAACATGTAGTCAAACAAGCTTTTCGTTTCTGAAAATAAAAGAGAAAATGTGGCCTCAGACTGTTTGGTCAAAGTTTCGTACAGTTGCTTTTTTTTATCTTATTCTGTTGGTGGTTTTATCAGTAGAACCAAACGCAGATGTGAAGGTTGACCAACTGAGTCGATTCACAGAAAAAAAAAAAAAAAAAAAAAGGGGACCAGGGTTTTATCTCAAACGGATGACATAGAAGTAGTTTGGTCGTTTGAAGATACAGACTGGTAATGATAGGATGTCCAATTTTACCTCATTGCCGACTATCGTCACATAGTCGGCATCTTCACAAGGTGCTATGTCGGCTAAAGCTGGGGTTGATATGTGCACCTCACATCAAACCGAGTCATTTCGAGGGCACAGGACTGGTCTCCTTCATCAACACTGTGAGGGTCAATGGGATTCAAACAGCAGCAAAAAATACAACATATTTCTAAGTTTTTTCGTTTAACAATACAACAGTGTGTACTATACATCAAACACCTTAACCCAGAGGTGCCCAAGTCCAGTGCTCAAGAGGTGTCAGCCTGCAACCTTTCGATGCATCCCGACACACCGGAACGAAAACGCTGAATTCAATCATCAGCCATCAATTAACTATGTTGGAAAAGGGACACATGTAAAAGTTGCAGGGTGATAGATAGCTCTTGAAGGCTGTACTTAGAATTTACCCTTCGAGGTAAATACTTAAACTATGTAGATCAAACTAGTCTTCGCTATACACATAGGAAACTTCTTGGCACTAAAGCACAAGGCCAGCATCAAGCGTCTCCACAGCAGCCACTTGGGGCTTTAAATGCATTTTCTTTGCATGGCTGAGAAAAGAACACGTTGTAAATGAAGGATTACTGTGATTGTGTTACATTATGGTGAGGTTCCCCTCTCAGCACAGCCTGATTTGTGGGCCTGTTCAGCAGCGTTTCCGGAACACTCCCTTCGTAATAGATGTACTGGGCCCTGAATTGTTGTGCAGTAGAAGCAGTTCAATTAATACCGCACCGCCATAAAATAACTATTGAAATGACAAACGAGGAAATAAATGAGCGTTTGCCTGCGCGGGCGCAAAGGGAGGGAGTGTGCGCTCGCTGAAATTTATGCTGGTAAATCCGTCGCTTTTGGAAGACAATGATGCCGTCAACTAAATATACCATGCTGTCACACACAAGGAGGGACAGGTAAAAGATGGACCCGTTATTTCTCACACCATCGGCTGTTGATGGCTCATTTGAATATTCACGGCCTTTTGAGGCTGAAGGAATGATCTCCTATCATTAGGCCACAGTCCTTAAAGATGCATCAAAGCTGGTGGTGAAAGGATTCCTTGTGCTCTGATATTTAACGCACATTAGGGTGTGGGACTGCTTTCAGGCAGGTTCCAATTTTTCTACAGAACTATACATAACAAATAGCTTTTTTTTTCCCTACTCTCTGCAGAATTGAAAAATTAAGTACACCAAGGATTTTGTCCAAAACAGCAAAATTACAGAGATTTATAAAATCTATGAACACAGAGACACACAAGTACATCAAAATCCAGTTAAAAGAATTGCTGCAAGTCTCCTAATTTCACAACACCTTCAAGAAAGATTCAAGTTCACATTATTTCTTTGTTTCAGTGCCATACCACAGGATATTTGCTTTTTTCTGCCAGATTTATTATTTAACTATATAACTATGTTAATGACAGCTGTTTACAACATAATATTTTAAGAACTGTACTGGATTGTTAAATCCTTCATTAATTTACTGTAGCTACAAAAGAGCACCCAGTCATGGATGAACAGCCATTATTAGATCAAGAAGTAACATTATTTGCAGTCTTATTTAGTAAATTAGAACCTTTTTTATGTGTCCCGACCAGTAGGAAGACTTAGAGTAAGAATTGGCTGTCAAAAATAATGAATAATAAATTTATACAAGATGTATTTAGCGGTATGTTCAGGTGCATTCTCTGTATTTCTTAATCCAGCATATTTTTGCAAGACAGATGCAAGATATCTTATCAGAAAAATAAGACAGTACTTGCATTCAGCTTCCAGATATTTGCTTAACTCTTACTCCTTGTTTAAAAGTATCAGGGAGATTTTGAAGAACCAACTCTGTTCTTTTTTTTTTTTTTTATCCTTGTTTTAAAGCTTCACATGAATTTGTTTAAAAAATAAATAAATAAATCCCACAGCTGATAACCCTCACTGTGGAGCATGTTGAAGTCAGCAGGATGTATCAGTCCCTGTATTATCTGGTTTGAAGAAATTATTTGTTTTTAGTTTCAACCTAGCAATTGTAAAACCGTTCAATTGAGGTAACCAGGCAAATTCCCTGTGAATCTCTACCTAAAAATCCCTGGAATCGAAAAAGTGTTCCCAACCATAAAAAAATAAAAATAAAAATGAGGCGAAATATGCGAAAGGGAGCCAGAACTCCTGGTTTGAGTCAACAAGTCTGCAATGTTTACTGCATATTGATTATGCAGTCAAGTGCAGGATGGCTGGGTCAAATCTGACAACTGAAAAGTAAAATAAGGTTTATAATTTACACTCTGTGAGGCTGTCCCGTCTCGATTATGGTTGTCGTTTTTACTTCCCTTTAATTATTTTAGAGAATCCGAACCTGGTTATTTTCAGTGCTGCACATCACTTCTGGGTCTTAAAGGGTTTTTACTTGACTGTCATAAGGCTTAGTTTCAAGGTAACGGCCATCATCCACAAGAGAGTGGAAGGGGATGCAAATTCGAAAGGAAAAGATCTGGTTCAAGGTGAGTTAATCCTGGCGTCACTCTGTAAAATTCCATCAGAGCGCATTTAGCTGCGGCTTGCATGAAAATGGATGGTTTGCAAAGTGTAGTTCACGTGGGTTTCAATTAGCAGTGTCTAGGTGAATTAAGAGGTTTAAAGCCATCGCTGTTCTAGTGGTGGTATTAACCTGGTGCTTCTCATTAGCCACCCTTGGCTGATAAAGAGAGCAAAGGGAGCAGTGGTGCAGACAGACACCTCTCGCTGACAACGGGTGACAGAGTGGATCACACCGCCTCATGAATAGTAATGGCCGCCAACATGTCCTACACTCCCCCATGTGCGAAGTGACGGATTTCTGTGTCAACAGGGCCCACGGCTGGGGAGAATGGACTGACAAGTGACTGAGATATTCAGGAGAGGTGCAAGAATGAAGGAGAAAAAAGTCCAGTCCTGACATGAAGGCTGCATCATAAGATTGTTTGTCAGTCAGGGCCTGCATTCATTGCCTCCCCAAGAGTGAGTAAATAAACAGTGTTTGCAGGGACAGGAAGTATTCCTGGATTGTTATCCAGTGCCTTTGGGGTGCACAGACAGGCGCTGGCGTGTCTCAATAAATCAGGCACTCCTTTCCTCCACTGTCGATGGCGGCGGAGGGGGAGGAGGGGTGAGAAGGAGAGGTGAGCACTACTTTTCTGAGGGGTGATGTCACTGATAACCTGGCGGGCGCACGCTCTTCCTCGCTGACCAGGTCTCGGCCAATCAATAGCAACACAATGTCCGGCTTGACAAACGCGTCGGTGAGCTGAATGTCAAACACGCGGCGAGATTCGAACAAAGGACTAATTTCTAACGACGCCAGAAGTGGCAGAACAAGCTGTGATGTGTTGCGCCTTCGACAGGAACCAGCAAAAGCTGTTTGGAAGAGAGCGGCTAGACATCAGAGCAGCTGAATGAAGCTTTCCTTTCTATCGCAAGCCTTTCTTTTTTTTCTTTTTTTCTTTTTATTTCCCACCATGGGGCAGTGTAGAGCTTCTATCTGAAATCTGGGCACAGCTAAGTCCATGAATTGTTCATTTTGTTCCCTCTGAACTCCCCTGGCCCTTTGGAGAGTTTTGGAACAAAAAAATAAAAAAAGAAAGAAAGGAGGGAGGGATGTAGGTTAGACAGACAGCTACTAATCGAATCTCTCCACAGAGGCCAATTATGGAGAAATCATGTTCAACAAGTCTTGGTCCTTTTAACACAGCCGAGGGTGACAGTGCTTTAAAAAAAAAAAAAAAAAAAAAAAAGAGGGGGGGGGAAAAAAAAAAAAAAACCCC